CTTCACTTTTGTCATTAGAGAAGTCGATCATTGCATTCATTTTGTCTTTAGCCCTGTCGTACTCATCTTTGGTGAAACATTTCTTCAGGACTGGGGTATTCATCGACACTTTGTCTGCCATCCTAGATATTATCAACAAGGCATGGATATAACTGTTGGGCTCGGCTCCATCCAGCACTACTGATCTTATTTGATCTCGCAATGATTCCTCAACACCTAATGAAAGTGAGATTGACAATAAYTATATTCACTCTTTTATTTATTCCTACCTATAAAATTCATGGCTCAAGCTTCCACAAAAAAATAGATATTTTCAAATTCAAAGTGAACAAACCTCTGTTTTATTTGACAACAGGTTCTTTTACACAAACACCTTGCCAAACAGAAAAGAGATCATGAGAAAATGTTGTAAGTACATTATACTGTAGCCCTAACAATTTATAGAGCRGATTTCGTATGAGTGGGAAACGGACGGTACTGTACTGTGACCGTAATCGTACTGTAACCAAATTCTAGTGCCCCATTGGTTCACCAAAATTGTGCAGGCCAGGTCCGTTAACTGTGCGGTAACCGTACGGTAACAGTGTCCCACTCATACGAAATCCGCTCTATTTTCACAGTGATTGAGGCTATAGCTAACCCTGTATTCCCAGAAGTCTTGAAACTTTGGGGAAGTCTTGAAATTAGGGGAAAATTAAATGAAAATTTTCAAGGCTATAATATAATAGGGGCATTTTATTGTGCTTTCTTTTGTGTTTGGTAAGTCTTTGTGAAAGAGAATCTGTTGTCAAATAAATCAGCTGTTTTTCCCCTTCAATTCAAAAATAGAGTATTCTAGACGTATAACTAATAATAATATCCATGATACCTGGTTTGGCTGTTGGATATTTACGACCTACAAACTTTTCTTTCATATCCAGAATGCCCAGTTCAACAAGGCTGTCGAGTGTGTTAGTTGCTACTTGRCTTTTTGTCCTCATGTGAGCAATATCCCGCCATATGACCTTTTTCACTTTTTCTGGATTACCAGGCTTCTTATTATGGTGCTCTGCTATGTCATCAAATAAAGGACCATCAAGATAGGTTCCTGTTGGCTTTTCATTTTTCACCTGAAACATAAAGTTGGAATTAAATAGAGGATGTTACATGGGCCTGCGCAGATCTATCTTTTAATCTATCTTCTATTGTTGAAAGATCTCACATGAGTGAGCGTAATGTAGCGTAGGGAAAGAGAGAGATTTTTTAGACACAAGTGGATAAAATTTGTATCTTCAAGCGATCATCTAATATTCTGTTTATCATATAATTATCGATGAAAGCAAATTATGTCTTTAAATACCCTTTCTATTTAGTACTCTTTTCAAGAAACCTTGAATGTCTTTTCAAAAGAAGTATTTCATCGATAATTATATGATAAATAGAGGTATTTCATTGACAATTGTATGATAAATAGAGGTATTTCATTGATAATTATATGATTAAAGGACATCTTTGATGTGGCAGCTGCCATCTCTGTAAAGTAAAAAGATCCGAAATCAGCAACTGAGATTCATTAAAAACCGACAGCCACGCAACCTACCAGTTTTGGAAAATAGTTTGTATTCCACGATTCCACCATACCACAGTTCCTAATTTTCCACTTACATGTAAATGTAGCCACAACAATTTATGTATAATAGTTTTCGTAACGCATATGTAATAGAGGTATTTCATTGATAATTATATGATTAAAGGACATCTTTGATGTGGCAGCTGCCATCTCTGTAAAGTAAAAAGATCCGAAATCAGCAACTGAGATTCATTAAAAACCGACAGCCACGCAACCTACCAGTTTTGGAAAATAGTTTGTATTCCACGATTCCACCATACCACAGTTCCTAATTTTCCACTTACATGTAAATGTAGCCACAACAATTTATGTATAATAGTTTTCGTAACGCATATGTACTTCAGTAAAGTTGAAGCTGTTTGGAGTTTCTTCTAAGATTTCGCGATATAAAAGAGGTGTTTTTTTTTTTGGAAATGCTGACTGCCGAAAAATCACTTTTTTGACGGAGTGACTACAAGACGCTTATCGACCGCGTAGAGATTTGCATATAAGATATCCAAAGAAGCTAACCCTACCTTCAAAAGTATGTTGTCATCTTTGATTCCTAGTGTTTTGTTGGGTTGCACTTCAATCTCTACTCGATCCATTACGATCAAATCAACTATACCGGCCGCTGCAGCAGCAGCCTGACACTCTACTCCACTCTTTCTGCCGCTTACATCTCCACTTTCTGGATCTTGCCATAACAAGCAGAAAGCTTGAGAAAGCTTCAGCTTTTCGGTTTGGAAACTCTCTTTGTCAAACCAAGAAGAATTGACAATTGCCACGAGCGCCTCGGTCATTTTGCCAGCTGTATAATCCATGTGAGCTGCCGCTGCTGCACCAGCACTGCCGGCCATCTTGAAAAATCGCCTCTGGTATTTTCTTAAACTCCACTGATTTTTAACTTTGTCCTTTAAAAGAAACGGATTTGTTTTAAAAAGTTCTTTTTAACTTTTGATAATCGATGAGGACGTTGTTTGAAATTCGATCTGCAAAATATTCGGCACGTCGATTTGTTATCACCTGATCGTCCTGCATGTGACACTGGCTAATCCGTCATGACATCACGGACATCGTGTGACCAATGGCGTCAGAATTCATTTGCATGGAATTAGGTCTCAAAAATGCCCGTGGCATTACTTTTTTACGCCATACCACAACGTAATAACTTACACCGAACGCTTCAAGATCTTTGTACCTGTGCGATATCATAATTAATGTTAACACTTTTTATTTATTATTTATCTATATATTTAATTTCCTTTACTCATTGTTCGTGACCATCACCTGTAATTCAGTTTTTATAAACTGCAAGAGGATGAAATAAACAAATTATGATTTCACGTGTTTTGGGTGTGTTTTTGAAAAGTGAATCGTGCGCGCGGCACTGCCGGCTGCCCAACTATTGCTTTAGAGAAGAAAAGAACGAGTTCTTATTGAAATGCGGATTATCTGTAGCATGGATAATAAAAACTATTTTGGAGGGCTATAGGCCCTACATTTTCATTAAAAATCGGTTACTTTTGGTCATTTTGGAGGGCTATAGCCTATGCATTTTCTTCAAAAGCCGGTAATTTTTGACTGTTTTGGAGGGCTATAGCCAATGTATTTTCATCAAAAATCGGCCACACCCACGGCGGTATAAAAAAATCATTGCTCACCCAAAGATATCTTAAAAGATAACTAACAATATAGTTACAGCATATTTTCAAGATAAATATTTTGATTTTTACATGTAAAGCTGTTTTCCTTTTTTCTTCTGGTCCAAGCATGAAATAAAATTATAACTGATGCGTTTTTGCCAACCACGGAAAGTCATGTGATTTAACTATACAGTTATTCTACAAAGTTTCTCATCACTTTGTATTTGTCCTCACTGTTCTGATTGTCACTGAGACCAAGCCATCCAATTCCAAGCATGGTGTTCATCTTTTCTTTKGCCTTGCCATACTCTTCTTTGGTGAAGTATTTCTTCAATATTGGTGTATCTAMAGATAATGCATCAGCAAGTCTTGATAATACCAATAAAGCAAAAATGAAGCTGTTTGGTTCTCTATCATCCAGGACCACTGCCCTTATTTGATCTTTCAAGGACTCTTGAAGGCCTAAATAATACAAAACATATCAATTAATTAAGAAAGAAAGAGAAATTGACTGGTGATAATTGGAGACAAAGTTTTAAAGTAKTATGTGTGACTGGTCTAATGTTTGACTAAGATGACAATAATGTCTGGTTAAGTGATTGATGAAGACAGCAATCCTCTGAATGATGGGATTTTACAATTCCAGCATTGTGATTGGCTGCTAAAATATTGTCTATTCATGATAAACCATAGTTTCACCAAATGATTTGAAAACAGTTAAAATAATGTTGAAAACAAAATGTTCTTTATGACTGTTTTTCACGAATTTTTTCTAATTGTTTGGTTTGATACCAAAACAATCAGATCACTAGGTCTCATGAACTATGATTTGGCCTCATGAATTATCAAATCGTAGTCCAGTCAACTTCATGGTGTAATCGTTAAATAAAACATGATATAAATAGGTACCTGGTTTTTCAATTGGATATCGACGACCCCAACATGTTTCCTTCATGCTCAGGACACCAAGGTCAACCAAACTTTTTAGAGCAAGAGTTGAAACTTGATTTGTGGAGGTCCATCGCCATAAATCTCCAAATATTATATCTTTGACTTTTTCAGGTTTGYATTYATTTGGTGCTGCTTTGTTGAAAATTTTGAGCCTTTTGTCAAATACTGTGTCGTCAAGAAACGTACCAGTTGGCTGTTCATTTATGACCTAATGTTCARTGTAAAGAAAAAATATGTCAAAATTGGGTGGCCTTGTATTTTGGACAACATTAAAATATATAGTGTTAGCAAGATACTGACRTAAACTCTTCMATCARGGGGGTCCGAGTAAGCGCTCTAAGAGCCTCTATTTTCATGCCGAGGTGAAAAGCCGCGGATTTTCTGCGACGCAAAGTCAATTCGTGAGAGTTTCTTACCTTCAAAAGATTAAGGTCATTTCTAAATCCAAGCGTTCTGTTTGGCTTTACTTCGACTTCTACTCTGCCCAAGGCGACCAAGTCGAYCAAGGCCGCGGCGGCGGCAGCTGCATTGCACTCACAACTAAGCTTTCTTCCTGAAACATCACCGCTCTTCGGGTCTTGCCACAACAAGCAAAAAGCTTGGGAAAGCTTCAGCTTTTCAGCTAGGAAGTCATCCTTGTTAAAGTTGGAAGAGCTGACGATTTTAACAACAGCTCTTGTCATCTGTGTCACAGCGTTATCTGCTGTTTCTGACATGATAACCGTAATGAACATCAGCTTAAAACGCTACGGCGATCGCAGGCCAAAATTCGATCTAAATCGGCTGTGTAGATGCTGAACAGCGTACCTACAGATACCGACTTTTATACAAGACACCACATATTTATAGCTCTGTTGTCATTGTATAATTTGATTTGTAAATACTAAGTCTCGTGAGCTCGTGAGATTTAGAATTACGCAGTGCGGATGAATATGGCTGATGATGTAATGTAAGGAACAGGCCGCCATATTGTAATATGTAACTTAGCAACAGCGTTAGGTGCGCTTTTAGTGGTCACAACAATACAATCGGGAATGAGGAACGAAGGAAAGATTGGATTAATGAAGTAATGAGGGTTTTKTTGTTGTTGTTGTTTCTAGTTTATTTAATATGTCCTAAAAGACAGTAACAAATATYWAGAGAAATTATTGAAGAATAAACCAGAAGCAAAGCCTTTTATAAAATAACTTTCATATTACGCGCGCTCTGATTGGCCAAAAAACCGTGTTTGATGAGAGCATAACACACTCTCGCGTCATTTTTTTTCTCGGCTTTTTTTCTCATGAATATTTGAGCGCTTATTATTTTATAAAAGCAATAAAAAACAGTTTTCCGCGTATTATACTCTGATAAAAACACTTGGGATGTGGAGAGAACACTCGAGAAGACGCGAAGCGGAGTGGTTTCCTACGCTTCTCTCGTGTTCTCCCCACATCCCGCGTGTTTTTATCAGAGGTATAATACACGGAAAACTGTTTTTTATTGCTTAAATTTTTCCGAAGAGGCACAAATCCGATGTAGAAACTCGTGTGCTCCCGGTGAACAGTCGCTTGATTATAGTAATTCGGTTGCTGCCCGGCCAATGACCATAATTATATGACAAGTTCCGAGGTTGTACCCAGAAAAAAACGATATCCCGAACGTTGAGAAACAATTCATATACAATTTAGAAATAAGTAAGCTGTATATAAAAAAGAACCTTTGTCGACCTCAATGCCTTATTTTATTTTGACCAAAAGTGTTAACAACGTGTTTAAATAAACGATTTATTTCGTATTTCAATAAGAATTATCTACCCTGGTCCCAAAGGTTTGATATTTTCTCTCTTCGCTATTGTTTTTTGTCGGCGCGAATCGCCGTAATCGAGGCCGTAAGCAAGCAACAGTAACTTTCAACAATATATTCAATTTGTTTTGAAAATAGCAAAACAAGAATTAAACTTTTTTGCTTGTATATTCATAATGCGTGTTCACAAAATTACACTAGGATAAAGACGATCTGATATTCGCGGGCGCTTTCAAAAGATATCGCAGGCGCAAGCACGGAAATGAGCTATTTTCGAGAAAATATATGAGCGAGTTGTGGAACAGTGATCGAAAATACTTGWGATGTTTTTGAAAGGGATGGTTTCTCACAGAAATCGTCCACTCTTACAAATCAATACTATCATTCCAATCTCAAACATCTCGACGTCTCAAAAATACATTTTGTAAAATGTTTGATACTGATAACGCGCGCTCTGATTGGCTGACGACCGTGTTTGTATCATAGGAAAATGACACAGCTTACTGGCAAAATTTGTTTTATCGCTCGAAAAACGCAGAAAATTGTATAAAAGAACCATAAAAACGGCCGCTTGTGTCTCTGTCCTCTGATATAAACAAGTTGGGAGTTGAAATGCACTCGAAGCTTGCTTCTTTCTTGCTTTTTTCAACTCCTACCGTGTTTATATTGCAGAGTACGAAGGCACAAGCGCCGTATTATATTTCTTAAGTATAACACGCTTACTGATAACACACGATACTATGGTGCTGTTACACTGGGCAGTTTTCAAAGCAGCTTGTCTTGCAGCGCCGTTGTGATATAAGTTGCCGAGAAAATAACAGCCCTGTTTGCCCGCCAAAATACAATATCTCTTTGGCCGAGGTAATCTGGGAACCAAATTCAAGATAGCGGATATTCGAATTGACGCAAATAGCGTTGCAATTCGAAAAGTAGGCCCGAGTAATGCTACACGCAACAAAACAAAAGTTGTGAGACAACCCCTGTTAAGGCCGATTTTACACGACACGATTATCGCGCGCGACTTGAATTATACAACTATTTTAGCTAAGAATCTTGTCGTGCAAATCGGCCTTTACATTGTGTAATTCTTCTGTAATTTGTGTCCTAACGAAGTTACGAGAAAATTATACAGTGTAACAACACCTTAAGATGCGATCAAAAATTATGATATCTCTAAAAAATGATACATATTCATATAAATATTTGAAATATCAGCGAGATTTTACATAATAATAACCTGAAAATTCGTAGCCGAACTAATTTCGACTATAGTATCAAGTAGTGGTAGACACAGAAATGCTATAGAAACAAGGAAAGTTATAGTGCTAGGAAGGAGGTTATTCCGGGCGAAAGAGCCTTAAAAGTAAATTCAGAAAAACAAATTTCCGACCTCGCTTGGATTCGAATCCACGACCCTCGGACCCTGGGTTCGAATCCCAGCGAGGTCAGAAATTAATTTGTCCCTATTTATTTCCAAGGGTCTTTCTCCTGGAATAACCTCCTTCCTAGCACTATAACTTTCCTTTAATTCTATATCATGTATCTCATAGTGCCATGCGGTCCTTACATTCATATCTGACCCTTTATACTATTTAATTATCTTGACGGGAATTATTACGTCGAAAGGAAATGTAAGATCAAGAACTATGCAATCTAAGGAAAAAAAGCCGCGTCCTTGACGAATTTCTCCATAGTTGTATTCCCTGAGGTCCGTTTACACTTGCGATTTTTGCAGAGCGATTCTCGCGGCGATCGTCTCGCGAACATTGCCTGAGTTACGAACATGCTTGCAAATTGGCAGCAACTTCGCGTCGATTCTGATTTTCCATCGCCGAAACAATCGTAGAGGTTTTAGTTACGCGATAGCAAATTTGCGATTATCGCGCTGCAAAAATCGTGTAAACGGGTCTCTAGAATGGGAAATCAAAATAGAGCCCGAGAAGGAAGGTACTGTAAGTTCTGGCTGCGGCGGAGGGCAAGGCCACTGACGGATTTCATAAAAAAATACTATTGAAAACCTTCTTCTTCTTCAAACTTTTTCATGAGTATTTTTTCTGCTTCTCTAATCCCACTGATATATGCTCCAGTTACAGTCTGTGGAAATTGTCGATTTGTAGCCTGCAGGAGGAAACAATCTTGTTACTTGAGCCAAAACTATTGGGTGTACACTACTGTTAGAACAAAGATTATTATTTGATGAAATAACAAAGAGAGACAATGCAAAAACAATAGGCATTGTCTGACATAATACACCAATTCTTTGTTTTTGCTGTCTCGATATCAATCATAAGGTCTTTTCTGACGGTAGTGGTCGACCAAACAATACACAGTTAGTTTCCAACGCCATCTTGAAATGCAATCAAGGCAAAACCAGTACTGCGGCTATAGGTGAAGTACGCCCCCTACCCCTAACACTTCCTAACCCCAATTTGATGTTTGCAAAATTACTGCAGCCCTCAAATGAACAAGAGTGCCAAGTCATATCAAAACTATGACTTTATTTACCAACAAAAGTTATTTTCCTGACATTGCAAAAGGATAAACAAGCTCGACAATAACTTTTTGTGTTTTTGCCCGATTTTCCCTCGCTTTGATGCAAAATCACAGGCTTCTCGCGAACTAACCGCGAAAAGTGTTATTCAACAAGAAGAAAGCGGCAGAATTCCTACCTCTCCTGCAAAGAACAACTTGTCTTCTAGAGATTTAGCAATCTCATCATAATCTTGTCCAGTGGAACCAAGAGGAACAAATGAATAGGCCATACCAGAATAGGGATCCTGCCCCCAATGACTTACTATGTATTTATCTGGCTTTGGGATTGTCTAATAAATAAAAATGATAGTGAATAGTTCCATTTCCGATGTCGATCCATTTCCGGTATCGTCACAAAGAGCAAAATCAATTCCAGTAACTGCTGCACTGGGCTTGAATTTGCTTTGCGGAAATGGTCACCAGGTCATGTTGTATGGAGGGTGAATAGCACTATCAACCTGATAAATCCTTATCGACCAAATAAAATCGATACTAAATCTAAGGAATAACATTAAAAATACGAGCTTTGAAGCAGTCACTCATAAACGCATGTTTTCATAAACGCTGTCTGGTAATGGGGGGTAGTATTGCCAACGTTAAATGTAATTAATCTCGCCAGTTTTAATCAACTGCTTCAAGTTCGTATTTTTATTAAAGCCTTCTTGATGTCATTGTTATTATTGTAAGAATTGAGGTTTTATAATTAAAAGATGCAACTATGAAATGAAGGAATGTTTTACCATTCAATTAAGTACTTTATAGAGAATCAGCTCACACAGAATCAGCAATAGTCTTCTTCACGGTTCCCTACGCCATCTTGAAAGGTAGCCCACGCTCAACGGTCGTCTCGCTTCGATGTAAGGTACAGCTACCTTTTGAGATGGCGCGGGGAACCGTAAAGGAGACTATTATTATGTCAGGCATTATAAATACTACCAAGCCACCATTAAGGTTGCTATGGTGATGATTTTTATGATGATTATCACCTTAATACTAACCTCACCAGGAAACAGTCCTTTTAGTAAATCCAACACATGCTGAACTATTTGTATATCACTCATACTTGACGCTTGGAGTGCCAGCTCTCCTGTTAGTACTGTCATAAGAACATGACTCTTCTTAGGGGTCGACTGAAAGTGAAAATGAGAAATTGAAATAAACAAACATAGGTGAGATGGAAAGTATGAAAGGAATGAGAAGGGAAAGATGGATAGAATGAAATAAAATCATGGAGTACAGTGATTGGCAGCCTGTGTAGCAAGGGCAACTTTGGCTGGGAAGCTGGACAAAAGAGAAAAAAACAGTGGTTTAACAGTTGAGAATATGTGACTGCAAAACATCTACGGTCGTACGAGCACCAAAATCGTCCAACTTGCTTTGCAGCAACATTTCTGCAAAACAAGTTTGAAAGGGGTGATGCTGCGCGTTTTACTACTGGCGGAGGAAATCGTCTCGCATCAAAAGTTGAGCGAATGCTTATTTCTGATTGGCATATGCCGTCAGCTGATTGTCGCGCGACGTCATTTTTTACACGCAGCATTGACAGATTTTGTTGAAAAAAGTAGACGATCTTCTACTTCCTGCAACACGCTTTTTCAACCTGCAACAAATTATTTTGCTGCGAGACAAGATGGTTCGCCGGTAGCAGTACGCGCAGCATTCCTTGACGATTTTGCTTCCGTGTTAGCGTAGGTTTAATGGCTACAAATCACAATGGAATGAAAACAGATTTCCCTCTTTTGTTCCCTCTTTCTCTCCCTCAAAAAAGGTTTTTTGAATGAATGTTTTTCATCCTTCTTTTGAAAATAAGTTTATTATCCCTCTCTATTTGAGGTACAGGAGATGTGGAAGAATGGGAAGATAAATTAAAAAAATGAAACACTAAAATGTCAGTATTGACTGCTTACTTTTCTACTTAAG